AAGGCTTTAGCGGTTCGGCAGAGACAACCGCGGACGCAGAAAAGGAGTGGAGGAGGAGAGGGAATCTCGGATTCATTCCTCTGCAAGTGGTTCACTGAGTGTTGGGCGGACTCCCCTTGTTCCAGCCGTTGGAGATTGGGGCGGCGGAGAGGAATTTCTTGAATCGCGCCTGCAAACTTTCTCAATCGGGCTGGATACCGAGAGAAGCAGGAAAGGAAGGAAGGCTGTTCGCAGAGGAGGTTTTGGCAAGGAGAATATCCTCTACCTTTAGGGAATATTCTTTACCTTTGTTGGACAACAAATATTGAAGAATATTCCCAGAGTCATCCTTTAATGCGGAAAGGCTGGAAGGAAAGTTTTTTTTTTTTTGAAATTTGTTGATTAAAGGCTTAATCAAAAATATATTTCAATTTTTCTTTTAAAAAAAAAAAGGTCTAAGCAAGAATTTTTTGCAGAAAAGTTTTGTTGCAGGAATAATTTTCAGATGACATTTTCTGGTGCGAAATTTGAGGTGGTGAAGTTCGACGGAACTGATAACTTCGGATTGTGGCAAACTAGGGTGAAATATCTGTTAGCGCAACAGAGAATCTTGAAAGCTCTGCGGCCAGCAAAACCAGATGTCATAGATGACGAAGATTGGGAAGAATTGCAACAGCGAGCGACAGTGACAATACGCCTATGCCTGACAGATGAAGTTTTGTATCACGTGATGAATCTGAAATCACCAGGAGAAGTTTGGAAGAAATTGGAAACTCAGTTTATGGCAAAATCTCTGACGAACGAGTTGTATCTAAAGCAAAAGTTGTATTGGCTGAAGATGGGCTAAAGATGCAAGAAGGTTCTGATCTGGGCACAGCATGTTAATGGCTTCAATCAAATAATCATAGACTTATCACCAATCATATAATCACAGTTCGTCACAGCTTGATGTGAGTATTGAGGATGAAGATCGAGTGATGATTTTGTTGTGTTCATTGCCCTCTTCCTATGAACACATGATGACTACTCTGACATATGGGAAAGAGACTATCAAAGTTGATGAGATTACTGCAACGTTGTTGGCTCACAACCAGCAGAAACATAATGCAGGGGAAAACTCTCATGGCGACAGTTTATATGTTAAGGGTAAGCAAGATTGTAGAAGGAAGAAAGAGCATGAGGGTTATAGAAGGTGAAATTCCAAATCTAAGTTCAAAGGCAAAAAGACACTACAAGTGCAAGGAGCCAGGTCATATGAAGAGAGATTGTCCAAAGCTGAAGAAGCAGACTGGGGAGAAAGGTGATACTTCATCAAAGTTTGTAAATGTGGTGCAAAATGAAAATTCAAATTGCAGTGATGGTGATATGCTCTCAGTTTCATCAACTCAGTTTACAGATGCATGGATTCTTAATTCAGGGTGTTCTTATCACATAACACCTAACAGAGAGTGATTTACTTCATCAATGTAAACTAATTCTGGCTCAGTCTATTTGGGTGATGATTGATGCTGCAATATAGTTGGTATTGGAGAAGTCAGAATTCAGATGTATGATGACACTGTTAGAATGTTATGTGATGTCAGACATATTCCATATCTAAAGAAAAATTTGATTTCCTTGAGCACTCTACACAGAAATGGTTTTATTCGTAAGGCTGATGAGGATAGGGAAACCATCAGAATTGTTAAGGGTGCACTGACGGTGATGAAAGGAAAGTTGACTGCAGGTAATATCTACAGACTGTTAGGGACTACAGTTTAGGTGGAGTTCATTCTGTTGAGTCAGATAATGACAGCACAAAGCTATGGCATATGCGTCTGGGTCATCCCAGTGAACGTGGGATGACAGAATTACATAGAAGAAATCTGTTGCATGGGGTTCCATGGTGTTATAAGTTGCAAGCTCGATCTTTGTAAGTTTTGTGTTCTTGAAAAATAGACTAGAGTCAGTTTCATGATTAAAAAGCACAAAATTGAAGGGATTCTTGATTATGTGCATTCTGGTGTGTGGGGCCCTGCCAGGGAATCCTCAATGGAATGATTTATGTACTTTGTTATATTTATTGATGATTTCTCCATGAAAGTTTGAGTGTATTTTTTGAAGCAGAAATCTGAATTATTCTTTAAATTCAAGCTATGAAAAGCTCAGGTGGAGAACCAAATTAGCAAAAAAATCAAGCATTACTTTATATTTGATAATGGCGCAGAGTACACAGATTCACAGTTTTATAAATTTTTGTGAGGAGCATGGGATTCAGAGGCATTTTTCAGTGCGCAAGGCACCACAATATAATAGTGTTGCTGAAAGAACGAACAGGTCCTTAACTGAAAGGGTAAGATGCTTGCAACTAAATGTAGGGCTTCCTAAGAGTTTCTGGGCAGATGTTGTGAATATGACATGTTATTTCATCAATAGATCACCTCGAGCTTCATTGGGTGGCAAGATCGCAGAAAATATATGGACAGATAATCCAGTTAACTTCGATCATTTACAAATCTTTTGTTGTCATACTTATGTGCATGTACCTGAAGATGAAAGATCAAAACTTGATGCAAAATCCAAGAAGTGCATCTTTATGGGCTACAAGAAAGGTGTGAAAGGATACAAGTTTTGGGATCCGATTGCAAAGAAGATAGCAATCAACAGAGATGGGACACCACAACAGAATAGTGTGGCAGAAAGGATGAATAGGTCATTAACTAAAAGGACAAAATGCTTGAGACTGAATGCAGGGATTCCTAAGAGTTTCTGGGCAGAGGCTGTGAATATGGCATGTACCTGGAGATGAAAGCTCTCATCAATAGATCACCTCGAGCATCATTGGGTGGCAATGTCGCAGAAGAGGCATGGACAGGTAATTCAGTTAAATTCGATCATTTATGAAATTTTGGATGTCCTGCTTATGTGCATGTACCTGGAGATGAAAGATCCAAACTTGATGCAAAATCCAAGAAGTGCATCTTTCTGGGCTACAAGAAAGGTGTAAAAGGATACAAGTTTTGGGATCCGATTGCAAAGAAGATGGTGATTAGCAGAGATGCAGTTTTTGATGAACAGTTTATGTTACAGCAGAATCAAGACAAGGTGTCAGGGAACAACTCCAGTTCAGATGCAGTGCAGATGGATTTAGAACAACAGCCAGTAGCTTCTGAGAGAGGTGAAAGTTCAAATCCAACACCTGGTGATTCTATTCCAGATGATCTGCAGAATTACAATCTAGTCAGAGATAGACAGAGACGCACCAATGTAAGACTTCCTAACAGATTGGGTTATGAAGACTTGGTCTCTTGTGCACTTCTCATCAGCAG